ATGAGCTGGAAGAGCTTCCGGTAGTTACCAGATGCAGCTGCTGCTTCCAGCTCATTAGCACGCTCCGACCACCAGGCTTCTCAGTCGTTACGCAAGCTTTGCCCAATTTCCTTACGTAACATCCTTCGTTTATGGTCAAACTCACGGTCACCCGGAGTAAATCGACGGGCTTCAATGAGTTGTAAGGAACCAGAAGAAACCCAGTGCTTAAAAGCGGGACGTTTCGCAAACCCACAACTGACTGTTCCCGCCATTTTCATGGCGTCATGCAATTGCAACCAATGCTCATCTATACTTTTCGGTGGAGTGGTAGCTATCCTAGAGGCTAGCTCGGTTCGATACTTACTAGCAACAAAAGTTGCAACCAGCTTGCTAATATCAATCCATTGATGGCGGTCACTTCGTTGGCCACTGAAAAGTAAGGTAAGATTGGCGCAGACCAAAGCATGGTCAGAGTTCAGATAGGTACTCCAAAAGGAGCGGCAGTCTCGTACACAACCACGCCAGCGGTAGCTGATCGCGATGTGATCAATCTGAGTCCAGGTTTGAGATGCAGAGGGAGGACGCCAGGTGGCCCATCGGCGATGACTGTGCTGAAAGATAGTGCTAGCCAGAAACAGGTTATGGTCTGTGCAAAGTTGCAGTAGACGGTCCCCGTTATCTGACCTGCGACCAACGAGTCCCCATCGGCCACCTAAACGACTCTCTTCTGTGCCTAGACGCCCGACCTGCGCATTCAAGTCTCCGGCTAGTACTACAATATCTGTCGAACGCACTTTCTGGAGAAGAACAGATAACGTGGTAAAATTCATCCTTGATTGCATCCGGGCTGCAATCTGTCGGGGCATAGGCGGAGATGACGAAAACACATCGTTTCTCACGCCGATTTCTTCTCACTTTGATGGAACTTTCTAATCTAACAGCACATAACCGACTGTTAATGAGGATCCAATCGACTAGTGCTGCCTCAGCTCTAGCGCTTAGTGCGACACCAACGCCAGCAAGACCAGACAAAGATGCCAAAGGGTCCCCGAATAAACGCTCGTAAAACAAGCTTTGCGAAGCGACAGATGGAGATCGAATTTGTAGTACTTCGCCAGAGTCTTGAATACGGGTCTCGGATAGACAACAAACATCAATATTAAGACTTTCCAAAGACATAGCCAGCCCTATCTGTTGTCCGACCTGCATAAGTGTGCGAACGTTGAAGGCAGCCAGTTTTAATGGTGCACGTGGTTTCAGAAAAACTGCTTCAGTTCTCGTATTCGGTGATAACATACAATTTTCAACCGGACAGTGACTCGAGAACGTTTAGATATAATCGAATTTCCACCAAAGACGAGCCGCTGTATAAGTATAAAAGAGGATGAATAATGTGGAAAATAATAATAATAGTAATAATAATAATAATAATAATAGTATTAATAATGACAATAATTGTAATGATAATAATTTGAATTAATTGATTGTTTTTTGAAGCGAGAAAAGTAATTTCCATAGACATAAAGAGTTCATCATTTGTGTGTGGGCTGTGATACTGCCCGGGTGCTCAAACCGAAGCAGGTGGTTATCTTAGGGGGCCACATCCCGAGCCTTTGACCTAATGGTCTAACCCACAAGGCAGTGGAGCATCGTAAGGAAATGCAATCCCATGGTAGCCGGTGACCAACGATTGGTTCATACGCCATTTTTTACTTCAGGATACTAGAGCCCACGTGCACCATTGGTTTGTGATCCGGTTAAAGCGCCGGACATTCGCTTTTCGTCCTCTCATTTTCGTAAACAACACCCCCGCCACGAGAAGGCAATGAGTAGGACTTCCCTGGCAGAGGCTGTATACGCGCGGCCGTGTGAGAGTATTTCGCGAGGGAGAGCGGACTCTCCCCACTCTCGGCCGTACCAGGGCATTCGGGGGTCTTTAGCCTAATTTCTATTTCATCAGTGATGATTAACTATGAAATACAGATGAAATTTCCATTGTTCAGTAGAAATGAATGGTATAAAGATCTAGAACACAAGACAGGAACCTAAGAATTTTTTGTAGAGATTGCTTTAAAAGCAATGTTACAGACAAATTAAGTTATAATTTTTCATGTCAAATATACGCTGTTTTGAAACAAAGATTACTTGAACTGGTGAATTTTTCTAATCAATTAATTATACTATTCTAACATTTACAAATAAATTTGTAACATTGTTTTACTAAAACGTATTCTCATTTGAAAATGAAGAGAAAATTATTTCTAATATGTTTTAAATACCGTAGACTAGTGATTGAAACTGATGAAAGGATAGAGATATTTCACTGTGATTGATTTCTCTATACAAATACTAATGTCAATATTTATCAGAAACATGTCAAAAATTCATAAGATACTAAGTAAGTATTTGACTATGAAATGAACCACTCTAATTATATTGGATATTTTTGTACCGATTCAAATGATGAATTGACTGTTATAAACAAGTAAATTTTGTGTACATATAACTGATTACCTATTTAACTGTTTGGATACGATATTACTGTTAATAGAGCGTTTGTTATCGTGGTATCAATGTTTCTACGATTACTATTGAGACCCAAGTGTGACTAATAATCTGTATCTGTTATTGCAAACAGCAGCACCCATCTGTTTATTAAATGGAAAAGAATTTATTTTTAAAGGATTTCTACTTTCCCACTAAAATATTTAAATAATTCTGGTGGAGTTGACTTTACTAAGCTGAGTAACTTAATCATGGAAATTTCACTCTTCTTTTAGACATCACAACAAACTACTAACAGAAGTCTAGGTACACATATTAACGAAATTTTGTGTTAAAGTAAAGGATTACTCTTCGTAATAATAATAAAATCTTTCAACACTGAAAAAAATTTTCGTAAAAAAATTATACAGAATGCGTACAGAGCATAATTTGTAACAACTCCCATACGTTGAAGTGCCATAAGACGACTATATGGATTAGAGTCGACAACTTCATTACTCATTTGATCAATTTTAGGACGAATAGTACGAGATTGAGATAAGTCATTTTTCATTTGGACAATTTGTGCTTTAAGTACATCAATTTCTGCTCGTAAATTTCTATTGGTTTGACGGAGTGAACTTTTATTATTTGATGGCATTAGGGACTAATAACTAGAAAACAAATAAACAAATAATTAAATATAATAAAACAAACGTTTTAATTAACGAAAATTAATGAACAGATAGTCTAATTGATGAATTTATGTCGACTAGAGAAACGTTAAATACCAAGAATAACATGATTTTCACTTCAACCTCATGTGCAACTCCTTAGTACTACGCCCTCATAAGTATACACTAGATCAGTCCGTTAGGAAAACAAAATACGAATTAATCATCAACTAAATTGAATATCAATAAAGTAATGAATTTAAAATGTAGTGAAGAGAAAATGATCTAATATATAATTTTGATGATTCATACTGAAAGTAACATTTATTTTAACAGTCAACTGTATAGAACTATTGAATTTTTTAACTGATTAGAGGAGGTAAATTTACAACTACCAAAGAACTGGATTGTAACAGTCGGAAAGCTGTTGTTATGTTAATAAAACCATTTAAGCATAATGGTCCCTAAACTTTACACATTTATTCCAAGCTACACATATAATGCTTCCTTAAAATGAGCAACTATCAGTCAGATATATAAATTTTTAACGAAGTTTAAAAATAAAACTCTGATATTCGCATGAAGTCCATTCAGTGCAATAATTAAAAATTGCTAATGTAAATCACTTATCAAGTTAATGTTTATGTATTCGGCTTTGAGATAAACTCTTAGTATCAGCTAGATATATTGACACATTTCTCAAACTAAAGTATGTTGAAGAGGACTCGAAATTGTAACCCCAAAATTGAAAAGGATTTAACAATTAAGCTACTACTTTATTTCAATGATATTCCTCTAATTAGACTTTTATTAAAGGTTGTTCTACTCTAAGTGAACTAGCATTAAACAACTTCCAGTAATAAATGTTTTCTAGAAGTAATTCATCAGTGATATATATATATACCAGTAATAATTAAGGATAAAGATTTTATTTATAACTGGCTAATCCAAAGTTAATAGTATCTGCAATTAAATGTATTCTACCATAATCATTTGATAAATGTATATTCGTAAGTTCATTGAATAAAATGGAATCACTTTGTACAATGAACACACGTGAATGATTTATATTCGTAATAAACATTATTTTTGCATTAATAACCGAATAGTATATATTATCTCTTTAAATCAATATAATTCGTTAAATCATATGAATAAGTTATACAACATTGAAACTATGTTACAGGATTCTGTGTTTTATAACTTGAGAAACTAATCAAGTACATTGTATGAGACAGTTTAAATTATGAACAATACGCGTCTATAATTTATCTTTATTAAAATATAATTTAAATTTGAGAATTCGATTATTTAGCTAGATAATCAACAAGCACAATATAAATGACAACGAATATAAAATATATTCATTATCAATCATGAATAAGTAATTTCTCATGACATAAAGGATAACTCATTATTTTGACGACAATTTTGAAAACAAATTAATCAGTATCAATTTTATAATCTTTAAAAACTATGAAGTACCAAGAGTTCAGTTTGTTATACCTTAAGATTTCTACACAAGTTACCCGCTGAAAACAACTATGTAAGACTAAAATTATTTGTAACATTTAATCCCTGTTTATCTTTTCATTCGTTTTTATGCATGCCAAATTGGCTTGTTGACATTTTAATATTAGTCAACTTATGAAATACAGAAATAAAAAGAATAAGATTAGACTTCACTAATATGTGTATTACTTCTATAACACAAATTATATAACTTCTTATTTAGAAAAAATAACTTGTTTAGATCAATATCAATCATTGATGAGTAATATTTGCAAATGTATTTTGATCAGTTTAATAGATATAGTAATACAAGCATACACATACACACTAGATAACAAAATTACACTATTTTTCAAAAGTTTTTTATATTGAAATTGGAATTTTCAACAATTTCCAATAACCACTCAGAATTATTCTGTATACAATATGAAGTAAATAAAGATGTGTACAAGCGAAATAAAACAATAAGCGAATGGGTAATGTCCTTTCAAATCTGATTTTAATAAATAAATGAAGCAATGAACAACACACTAAAATATAATGAAATGTAGATTGAATAGTTTGTATAGAATCTCTTTTATTGTTCACCTTCGCCATGAAACAGCTTTACTCCCTCTAATGAGCACAAACGCGCACTACAAAATAATAGCTAAAACTGGAGATCGGATCTAAGATAAGTAAATAATAATGGTGAAAGACACTTGGTGACTTTTTTTTCTTTTTTTGTAATATACACAATATAAAACAAATACTTTTTGGGTATAATTTGTAGTTAATCAGCAATTCCTCGAGCTAATACAGCAAAAGCATCACGTTGTAAACGACGTCGCTCAACTCTAGGTAGCGGAAGTTTATCTAACATAATAAATAATTTCCGAAATCTATTATTTTTCATCATATTTGGAACAATCATTTGTGGTGAATTACGCATTCTACTAGATTTGGAGCACATATTAAATGAATTATCTGAATCAAATTTAGATGTTTCAGTGTTTAGAAAACGATTGGAATGAAATACATAAAATATATGATGTAGAATAGCACACGAGCATAAACGGCTTAATTGTGCAATTGAATTCTGTAAAGTTAATATAAAATAGTCATACAAAAAATGAGGAATCTATTATACTGTTAAAAATAAAAACTATCAATTTAATTAACAACGTGTACAGAAAGAAGAAAACTAGAATTTAAAACTGTTATTATTTAAAGTTTGCTTGAAATAATCTACTTTAAAAAAATTTGAAATGGCGCAGATGCAGTCAGTCAGTCAGTAACAACGTAGAACTTCGTACGTACGTACATCAGTTCGAGTTGCCAAACCACATTAGCACAGAGATGCAGTGGTCGATTCAAATCCCGTAGTGCTAGATGTAGTAAAATTATAAGCTGTAATAAAAAAAATTAGCGTTTGAAGATGTTATTCAAGGAGTATAATACAGTGAAATAAATTTGGAAAGAGGAAAAAAGGGACATGAAGAATTCAGAAGATTAGAATTTGGGAGAACACAAAGAGTGGATGCACCTGCGCCATTGCAAACGATTTTCAGCCATGTCATTCAGGGTCTCTAACCATCGGTTGCTATCATTTCGCGGTCCCCAACAAGGTAGTCTACACCTACCAATATGACTCAGTCCACTTGTCAATGACTTCATGGACTTGTGCCATGTTTTTATCCGGCCGCCCCTAGCTTTCTTCCAATCTACTCCTATACCACTGAACATCGCACGTCGAGGCAGTCGGTCGTTGGGCATACGTAACACATGTTCCAGTTATCTCAACTGATGAAGTTTCACTACTTCATCAATTGATTTGCCATCCTTACTTAGTACCCGTTTCCTAACAACTGCATTACTTACTCGATGGTCCCATGATATACGAGCAATATTTCGAAGACATCTATGATCAAATACTAGTAACCTACGGATATCCTCTACTCTTACCGGCCATGTTTCACTGCCATAAAGTAGGACGGGACGTACTGCTGCGCAGTAAACACTTCCTTTGTTTGATAGACGGATATCTCGTCTACGCCATAAATGACGCAAGTTGGTAAAAGCTAGTCGAGCCTTCTGTATCCGTGCTGAGATTTCGTCACATACCAGACCGCAAGGGCTGATGAGACTTCCAAGATAAGTGAAGCGATCGACACGCTCAATTACTTCACTCCCTATCATTAGTTCGGGTGTCAATGCAACCCAATCATGAAGCAACATTTTGCATTTCGAGAGGGAGAATTGCATCCCGAAAATGCTTGCAATGTTGCTTAGAGTGGTCAGAAGACTCTGCATTTTGTCAGCGTCTTCACCAAATAGAACTATGTCATCAGCATATTCTAAGTCAACAAGTGAATCTCCCGATGGAAGTTCAACCCCTGCAAATTTAGGTGAGGAAAGTGTCATCTCTAAAAACACGTCAACGACAAAGTTAAGCAAGAATGGAGAGAGTGGACAGCCCTGACGAACACATGAGGTAATCAATTATGATGACACTCCGCCATAAGCTATCACTTGGTCAGTTGTGTTCGAGTAGAGAGCCCCCGAACGCCCTGGTATGGCCCCCGAACGCCCTGGTACGGCCGAGAGTGGGGAGAGTCCGCTCTCCCTCTCGAAATACTCTTACACGGCCGCGCGTATACAGCCTCTGCCAGGGAAGTCCTACTCATTGCCTTCTCGTGGCGGGGGTGTTGTTTACGAAAATGAGAGGACGAAAAGCGAATGTCCGGCGCTTTAACCGGATCACAAACCAATGGTGCACGTGGGCTCTAGTATCCTGAAGTAAAAAATGGCGTATGAACCAATCGTTGGTCACCGGCTACCATGGGATTGCATTTCCTTACGATGCTCCACTGCCTTGTGGGTTAGACCATTAGGTCAAAGGCTCGGGGTGTGGCCCCCTAAGATAACCACCTGCTTCGGTTTGAGCACCCGGGCAGTATCACAGCCCACACACAAACCATGAACTCTATGACTATGGCAACTAATTTTTGTGTGGCGCATATATATTGGCGCTCTCTTGTACCAATATTTATGTGTTCAAATAAATAAATAAATAAATAATAAGAGAGCCTTTATGAGGTTAATGTACTTCTTTGATACTCCTTTCAGTGACAAACACTGCCATAGAACTACACGATCAACAGAGTCGAATGCCGCTTTAAAGTCGAGAAATACTACTATTGCGGGGCGTCTGAATGTGTGTCTGTGTTCTAGAACCTGACGTAGTGTGAAAATCTGATCTACACAACAACGTCCAGGTCGAAAACCATCCTGATTTTCCCTAGTCTGTTCTTCACGAGCTTCGGTTAGGCGTTGAAGTATTATTGAAGCTAATATTTTAGATACTATATTTGTCAAACTGATTCCTCTGTGATTGTCACAAGAGGACTTTTGTCCTTTCTTATAGACTGGCACAATCAGTGATTGAGACCAGTCAGATAGGATTACATCCAGTTCCCAAATTCTACCTAAGACCTCAGTTAATCTCGCTGCTAATACTGAACCACCATCCTTAAAAATCTCAGGAGTAAACCTGTCAGGGCCTGTTGCTCTCCCTCGCTTCAGATTTCCTATGACTTTTTCAACTTCGTAAAGAGACGGAGGACCTACATTAACTTGCCATTCAGGTTGACTGGAGATCGTGGGAAACCGAAGTGTGGCTGAAGGCCAGTTGAACTGATCCCTAAAGTGTTCTGCCCATCGATCCAATCTCCTGGATTGAGAATGTATAATATGTCCATCTTTCTCTGAGAGTGTTTCGCTAACAGTCGGTTTTCTTAACAAGTCTGAACAATTGTCCGCTATTACCTATTGACGCTGCCTTTTCCATCTCTCTTGCTTTCGCTACCCACCACTGTTCGCGATCATTGCGTAGACTTCTTGTCAGCTTGCGCTTAAGCTGAATCCGTTCTTCACTATGTTCAGAGCCAGGTGGAATGAGTTTCCGAGCATCTATCAGTGCGATAGATGCTGCTGAGATCCCGTGTTTCTCCCTAACCTTGTGGTTTACCTTACTAGCAGATAGCACTGCTGTTTCCACAGCAGATACACCCATTCTTTGTCACCCCCCAAGTTCTGAGATCGTAAATTCCTCAGAATATTTTTTCTGTTCCACTAGTTTACATTTTCTTGAATTGTATATTTGATGCCTAATCTTTTTTATTACCACTGATACATTTACTACCTCCACTATACTGAAATTCGGCCTGACAATTTCATCTCCCTGTGCTAATGGAGTATGACGATTTGAGCCAATGTACATACGTACCGAGTTCTACGTCGCGACTAACAGATTGTACGTGTGAGAAACTCTTAAATGGGATCCATCAACATTACTCCACATCGTTTTGTTAAAGTATAACTGTATAAGATATGATTATTAAGAGGACCTAATTCGACATTGAATATTTAACGGTACGTTTCGCAACTTGAAATATGGGCATTCATATCAAGCAATAGACCAAACATGAATTTTAAAACCTGAAAACATAATAATTCAGTTCATGAGTCCCATATAAAATAGAGTTTGCATTAAATAAAGATAAGAGGACCAATATAATAGTGTTAATTTAACTTATGACATACCATCCCTTCCAACAGTATATGACGAAGATATGGTAAGTAACTCGGAAGCATCAAACATTACGACGCCACTCTCTTTATGTAGAATCTGAAGACTTTTCTTTAAACTAAAAATCCTATCTATGGAAAAATATAAAGTGAAAGTGTAACGACTTATAGCCTGTGACACAATCGTCTGAAATGGAGGTGAGTTTACGAAGAATGAAGTTTCCAATAGTGATTAATTTTAGAATTGGTTTCTTGCAAGTACTCCGTAGACTGAACAATAGACAACTAATACAGGAAATATAACTGTTACACCTGATATTTATTGTCTGATACACTTATTTACGGGCTTAGTAACCTACAATTATTGATGACTAGAAGTAACAGAAAATTTTAAACTCACCTTTCTTAACTTGTATACCTGGGATCAAATTTCCGAAATAATTTATACTATAATACTGGAGTAAAATGTACAAAGTCCATTTTTAAAAAATCACAGATTGTATAGTTATGTTTCACCCTTTTATTCCACTAATTAAGCGAATTTAAAAGTTAGTTTCCATACAGCAAAAAACATACCTGTTGTAACGACCGCAGTTGAATTGCTTTAGTTTGGCCATAAACATCAAAAACAGCCCGCATACGCGGTGTGGAAGTAGGGATACTATCGGAAGAATGACGATCAGAAGTTGGAAATGATCCAGGAGTTTCACTAGTACTGTTAGTCACACTATAATTGATACTGCTTACATCTCCATTGACAGGTGAAAATGAGGAGTCCACACTGATTAGATTCTTTTCAAAATCAGATGGTGAAATAGCCACTGTTTCCTGTAGCGAAAAATTACAGAGGTTATGATCTCCTGCTAGACTTCACGATTGAGCAGACAAATTAGTTTCTACAACGAGCATTAGGAATCTAGTCTTACTGGACTTTTAGCAACCTTAATATACGTACACTTCATTAACCTATTTACTATCAAATTAGCGATTCGTAGTAGTCTTTTCTAAATTTAATCTTCCTAATATAAGCAAAATCGGCATTTAATTAATGATAATTCTATCGTTTGAACAATGGTCTTGCCGTTTGATTTCCACATAGTTGGAATTTGAGGCTCGATTACTTATGATTGGACACCTCAAGTGAAATGGCTCAAAATTGGTAACAATCATGCGGATATACTCATTTTTCATGTTTTTTTAAAATATATCTCATATTTATTATTTCCGCCTCCATGCTTTCCAGTTTTCTAGTTTTTCTTCTCGTTGTGGCGATATTATGTAGCAGTACACATAAACAAATCTAACGAAAACTTTTAATATATTTGATCATATTGGATGCAAATGGTCAAATGAATGGAGCAATCAATAAAATCAATACTTCCCCACCAACTCGCGAACTAGTTATTGAGAAAAACAATCAGTGAACTTATTCTCCAAGTACTTGGGTATGAATGGAACTGATACTACCGAGTTGGTCAAACTGAAGGTGAAGCAGGATTCGAACCTCAAGCGTTTTGGCTAAAATGTCAAATGCCACTGCTATAACGTTAAGAAGACCATTTCCGAAATATTTTCTTAAGATCGACAGGTGAGAAACGCAGATTATGAAGTGTAGTTACTACAAAACATTTTTCGAAGGATTAGGTTAAAAGTCCAAATACGTTTTGATGAAGTATGACTTACTGCTATTGCAATCATGTCGATGCCATTAATAACAATATGAAACCGAAAAAGAAAAAGCAGTTTTTCCGTATCTGAATCCTCTTCACTTTCGGTAGAGTTTAAAGTATACCTCAAAAGGTTCTGTACATTCTCATCTGGTATTATAGACGGAATATTGCTAATATCATTAAGTATGTTCATAGTTCCATCTATCGGAAGACTTGTACATTGTTCATATGAATCATCTGTAGGTAGTGGCTCCAGTTCATAGTAGATGGCTATAACACTACCTTTTTCGACATCAGGAGGTCGCGCAAGTTCTAGCTCATTTGGTACTAGTTGACTCAGTGGTACTCGACCACGCTTTGTATGGAGACAACAGACACAAAAGAAGGGAGGAGTAACTTGTTGATGTGTAGGTTGTTTATCCATATGAGAATTAGTTACCAGCACGTTTGGACTATTGATAAAACCATTGATTGAGTTCATACTGGGCACATCTACTTGTCTTTCGCAAAACATATTAACAGAATCAAACAACGTGGGTGAATTGTTATTGGTTTTACTCAAATGACGACCAGATTTTAATTGCTGTCGTTTCCAGTAAGTTTGATGATGATGCGACAAGAGAAGGGCCACAGCAGTTCCAACAGGTACAATCCAACTTCTACCTGGAGAAACCAAAGCAGGTAGGGCAAACCTGAAAATAAAATAATCGGTAGTAAACTGTCATCATTGGAAAATATTCCTGACAGATAGATATTCTGATACGTAAATTGTGAAGTTATTCAGTTAATATCATAAAGTAGAGATCACAATTGATTTCCCAAAAGATAAGTGAAAAAATAAAGGATGGATTTCGATACCCAGCTAGAGATATATAAGTTTATACCGTTGCGAATACTAGTATTGAATCATGTGTAAACTAAAGATAACACTAAATGATGAGAACTAAGAAACTTACACCAGAACAGTTAGTGAGTTCACATTTACGATTCGAGTTAGGGCTTGTACTCGGTTAGTATTACCTAATAATTTAATGTAAACGAAAATCTGACAAGAAATCATTAAAAGCGTACTAGATATCCCATTTATTTGTTCAAACAGATTTTGGATAAAAAAAACTAGTAAGGGCATCCCAGACTACAAAATAACACTGAAGAAATTCTTCTCGCTTTGTTGTTGTGGTCTTTGGGCCGGATAATTTAGCTGTGAAGTTCCCTTTGTTCATATGGATAACATTATCAACACGCACTTTTGAGACAAAGCCAGAAACTGATAAGTACCACTACATTTCGTGGAACCAATGAGGCTTCGTGTATTATAAAAAAGGGTTCAACTATACAACTAGTGAAGCAACATTCCTTTCAACATTGAATACTTTTAAGATTACCATCTAAAAAAGAATTGGGATGGGACGAAATCAATCAAAGTGAGTATATAAAAATTGGTGATAGAGATTCAGAATTCGAACTAGCTTTTGATATAGTTTACCAATCTGGATCCTTAACTGAACCTCCCATTTTTACATTTCTCTTTATAGATACCATTCTATACTTTAAGACGCTAATTTCACTTAGGGAAATAGTTCTGCAACTTATATGCATTTATCGTTTTTCACAGGTAAATGTAGCTATTCACTTTAACTCATAGATGAAGTGAACATAGTGGAAACCAGATGTTTCTAGTTATGAATGGTCAAATTAATCGTTACAAGTATGGTTACGAAAGGGAGTCAACATGCTTAGTTTTTGGAAAAAGTACCTTAAAAAGTCTACTTCTACTTCTCACATTCGTCTAATTGATTCAAATCCATGTCAAAACGAGTAACGGTAATCACGTATATTATTCTTAAGTTATTTTCACTAGAAACGTTATTGATAATACTATAGTGATTGCATTCTTGAGTCGAAGACAGAAAAATAGTTGTATGCCACGAAATCTACCGATTATAAGATTTTAATGTGTAGCAGGAAGACGAATAATTATCGAACAAGGGTATCAGGTCATGATTTACCATATTGGTTTATCCAATATTAATCACTCAGCTAGTACTTCCTCAATCCCTAAGCCATAAATTATGAAGTGCTACACCGATTCTCTTCTATATCAAACTAATCATCACTGATACTTTTGACTCACAAAATATTACCAGCCAACATCAAATAAATTATTCTTTAGGACTCATGCATAATAAAAATCTGTAAATCACCATTGATTTATGATATTTACATGGAATTACAGATAGAGCAAGGCAAGTAAATGGGATTTTGTTCATTTGATTATTGCTTTTATTGTTTTTATAGAAACATGATGTGCACCGGAATCTTAGTCACACAGACTTTTCTACGAAAATAAAACCTATCTACATACTACGAGAAACAACTAGTGGCGATATAGCACCGTAAGGCTGTTAAAAACTGTTAATAATTTTACATACGACAAACATGATTAAGTTACTCAATAGACTGTCACTTTACCTGGGAAGAGGCAAGAGCAAGTTATCCGGTAGTAAAGTGAATCCGACTCTCAAATCCCCAGTCCAACCTCGCTGTGTTTCTGTAATTTCGACAGCTACCACTTCGCCTGGTCGGATGAAGCTTTGAGAAATAACTACCCCATCACAAAAACCTATTTGACGACGAGCTTTCGTTCTATCGGGGGAAATTTCAACATATTGACCTCTGTGGTCGAAATTGAACACAGTAGAGATGTCTACATAGGTCGACATCACTGAAACAAAAAATGGTGACAACATTAGCTAATTAACCATTGTTTAAAGAATAACTAAATGTTTTCATCACAAACCCGAGATAAAACCAGGGACATGCGCGTCTGATAAATGTAGTTTAGTTTCATTCAGGAGAGGAGAAATAGTATAAAAGACAATGAGTGCTTAGAAATCGGTTATAAGACTGTAGTCTCGGACTAAATTTTATGAAACTCACACTCAACTTTTAGTCTTTCTGATCATAATTTTCAGCTTGCTTGTACTCTAACCAGTATAATCTCGGGACAGGCCATGGTTGCTTGAGTGAAAAATATACCCCGATAGATATAATGAAGGTTTGCAACACCATATAGATATTCAAAATCTTCAGCGCAACAACCAGTACTATCAGCGATCCTGGATGGCTGCATTAAAATACTTAGATAGTCCTAAAAAACCAGATGATTATTTGCATCAAGTTAGCTATGATTTTATTTCCTCTTATATGTAAATGACCTTCCCCATCTCCTATCATCATCGGTCTTGCTATATGCTAACGATGTCAAGATATGTAGAGCGAAAAGGGTGGCAGCTTAGAACTTTAAAATGACCTGGAGAAGTTATCTAAATAGTCTCAAACCCGAAAGTTACTGATAAATATTCTCATGTGTATTGTAATGCATATCGGTCATCAAGGTATAGATACATACATGAGTAAAATTGAGTTACCTGTTGTCCAGATACAAAATAGCTTAGGGAACATCGTTAGCCAAGTCTTAAAGACTACTGCACACTGCCGTGCGATAACCGCCAAAGATTTAAAAACTCTATGGTCAATGCGTAGGGCCTTTAGTCATGTCAACGCTAAAACATTTTTGATTTCGTGTTCGTGCGTCCTGAACTTGAGTACTGCATACAAGCGGCTAGCCCCTGCTTAAGAAAAGACAGTGAGATTTTGGAAAAGATTCAGAGGACAACAACCAAGCTCATTCCCGGAATAGCGAAGCTCCCGTATGTCAGTCAGCTACAACGTAGAACCATGCACTTATGTGCATCGGTCCAGGTTGCCGTATGATGCTCAACTGGCTAAGCTAAACCTATTCCCGTCGTCGTATAGGAGAACCAGAGGTGACTTGGTTACAGTTTTCAAATTGCTTAGTGGTAAATCTGCACCTGATATGCCCACATTTTTTTGTTTCCCAAAACAGAGTATTTACGAGGACACTCGAAAAAAGTTCACAAGCCCAGAACAAATTACTCGTCAGCTGGCTATCGACTTTCCCATGAAATTATTAATGAGTGGGATTCATTACCTCAGCACGTGGTTGAGGCTCCATCCGTCAACTCTTTCAATAGAAAGTTGGATCAACTGAAAGACCATGATTGCTAGGACTAACACAGGCGATCAAGCCTCCTGTCCTTTACAAACTGAAATTGGAACTTTGTCTAAAATAAAAGTTGAAAGTAAAGTGCGAAACTGTTGAGAGAGCCCTTCGGAAAAAGATAAGATATCATATAAGATTAGATTAATAGTGATCAGTGACTCCTCGTCTTTAAAGATATTTACACTTTAATGATGATTCATCTTGATATACTAGGAGAATTCCTGGTATTCAGATTATTAAAAGTAAGAATAATTAACACTCGTTAATGGGAGTTCACAGAAGATACAAGCCGCAACCATATTAGAAATCATTCACAAAATATCTCACCTAGTAAACCAATAACCTCACACACACACTACATTGGAGCGCATAATTAGATCCAAGCGCGTGGAGATTAGCAATGCAACTGATTTAAGTCTCTGATAGTTAAAAAAAATTAGATCATAAGAATCCTGGAAATTTTTTTGACTATCCGGTTTTTCATGGACACAGTCTTAAATTTAAAGGTACAATGGGGATTTCGACACCATATGTACAATTACAGAATGCTAAGGGGGTACTTTTTGCCGTCAAGAATGAAGCTTCCACTATGGGAGAATACGCTGTTAACGGAGATGCACAGAATGTTAAACAAAATCACAACATTGAAAGGCTTTTATAAGATACCATGCAAGTTTTCCGCTACTTTAGTGATACACGCTTTTCGAGAGGGAAGTTTAGTCCTAACGTGATTTGTATTTCTCAAACATTTGCTGTATTCTTAAGCAAGAAAAGTACCATTTCTGATCTAAAGGATCTATTTTGAGCTATACACTCGGTAGATTCCTTTTTTTCAAATTTCACACAATTTAATAGTTAATTGGTTTTGCCTCAGCTTACTATTCGGTTTTACCTCCAGTTTTTCACGTAAAGGCAAGTTTCAGTCTATCCTAATCCGTTTTTAGTGTTGTAGCGAAAAAAATACCCAAAATAAATAACTATGTAAGTTTTTGACATTGGATGCTGACAATATGTTCTGTAGTGACCAACTTTTATCATGAGAACACCATTGGTTTAATGAAAACAATTATCATCATAACCAATTGTACCAGTGCCTGTTTTAATCCACTCTTTGTTTAACTGTGCTAAAATATCCATTATCCTTACTGCGGTTGTGACGCGCGAATTCGGTTACGCTCAGTAACCAAGCTTGTATCCTGACACGATCTTGGTATTCTCTCGATACCACGAGATCGCCAGTAAATATATCTCGACTTGGTCCGTTAACTGCCACCTGATATTTGACTTCCGAGTGATTTAATGGATATCCTGGCACGCGTTCCTTTGTAATGATGTTGATCGTCAACTGGGCCTCGACACCACGCTACAGTTTAAATGGACTCACCTAGCTGAAGGCGCTCGATCATGCATCTGCACCAGATCACGAGTGGAAACGCCGTGCTCAACATCTACTGCAGATCAGACGATGCTCGATATATTGACATCACATCATATATATCTTCCAATCTCCTCGATTCTGTCCTTTGATTTCTCATGGTGGGTACGAATTATATTAGGTGTTACTGGTAAAAGCGTTGTCAAACACTGAATACCTGTGCCATCTTCATTGGTGAGCCTAACGTGATCTGGCACACCAAATCGTAAACTGTGAGTCTGTTCCTTTTCGGGACTTTATGTATCATTGCCTTTTACACATTGTGATATTTTTTCGTGCTTTCTGGATAGATACATTTTTTCCCTCGTTCATTATCATACTTCATATTTCATCATGACTGAAGAGACACCCAAAGCACTTTAGCTTAAGACTATATCCCCACCTTCGTTTCAGCTGATACCCTTCTGGCCAGACAACATCAAAGCCTAGTTTTGCTACGCAGAAGCCGACTTCCACGAGCACGGCGTAAACGACAGACGTGCACGATTACTCGCAGTAGTTAAGGCACTACCACGCGAATTCAACAAGTACGTAACATCAAGTATGTTTACTAGTGATGTTTCTGAACCTTACGAAACGCTTAAACGTTCTATTCTTGAACGCGGAGACGTAACCGATAGACAAAGTATAGATTAACTCCTCAATAACATCGACCTGCAAAACGGTTCTGCGACGGACATGTTGCAACGAATGAGAGAAGTTATAGGCCAAAGAACTTTCGATGATGGCCTATTTAAACAACTTTTCTGATCGAAACTTTCTCAACAGGTGCAAGCTGTGCTTGTCTCGTTCCACGAGCTAGCTGCATCTGTTGACCGCATTTTAGAAATCACTAAATCACCTAATACCGAGGTTTTCTCAGTCAAAGTAAAGCTACAAACGCTTCAGAATTACATAACAGAGTTATGTCATACACTTACGCGTTAGCTTTATTTTCGTAACGACCGTAAGCGATCACACACCTCACGTGGAAGCACCCTACGTAAACGATCTGCCTCTAGAACACGAGAGACGGATACTACCGACTGGTGTTGGTATCTTCCAAAAATTGCAGAAAACCTTGCAATTTTACCAACTCAAAACCCACCGACACGAAAAACAACTCGAGAAACTTCCAAGAAGGCAGGCGTTAACGGCAACCGTAGCAGGCGAACATAGCCGTCTGTTATACGCAACAGATGTGACAACGAAAGTTTGCTACCTCGTTGATACTGGCGCAGAAGTTAGCGCTCTCCCAGCGAATTCTAACGACCGGTTTCACGAATCGGCTTTAAACTTACAGGCGGCAAACAGAAAACTTATCGCTATCTATGGCAAAAGATTCGTTTACCTTAACGTGTGTTTACGCAAACCCATTCACTGGATTTTCATTGTTGCAGATATTTCTGTGCCATTCATTAGTATGGACCTTCACACATCACTTCACGACTACAGGACCACTTGTATTCTCTAAAGCACGACGACTAGCCCCCGAAGAGCTAAGGTTGGCGGAAAACGAGTTCGACCACATGATAGACTTAGGAATCATACGACCGTCAAGTAGTTCATATGTATTCCCGTTGCACATGGTCTTTAAAAAGGACAGCAACGATTGGCATCAAATGTATACTCTTATCTCCTAACCGTTTCACTTGATGACCAGGAGCAGTGCCTACTAAGGACATCACTGCTGAAACAGTGGCATGTGCCATCGTCGAACAATGGGTAGAAAACTTCGGCCGTCCTTCAACCATCATTACAGATCGTGGATGCCATTTCGAATCTAGACTTTTCCGTTGTCTGACCAGATTATTAGGAACCACGCGCTTCTGAACGACTGCCCATCACCCACAAGCAAACAGGTTTCTACTCGACCGCAATCAGCTGATGTTTACGTTCAACCAGACTTACGATCATTATTATTATTATTATTATTCACAAACATCTTATGGGTACATAAGTGTTGTGAAGAAACCATTTCGGGTTTCTTCATAAAATGCAATAATACACAATTTTCAATAATGTTAGCATTATACTTGCCATATTTAAAAAATAAAAAATAAATTAGAATAATAATAGTAGAATAATAATAATAATAAATCGGGTCTGTGTAATTGAGAAGAATATTGAATTGAGTTTAAAGAAGGAAATGGAGAAAATAAGGGAATAGAAATAAAGGAGACGTGAAATAAGCAAACAGTCTAATAGGCGTGTTTATGAACAGATAAGAAGAAAAAACGACCATGTGTGTATCGTTGAATTAGTAACAAAAAATAATTTATCGTTGTAGTAAGATATGACAATAGAATAAATGTTTGTGCAGTTATAGTTTAGAGTGATGCTATGAAAGTCACAATTAAGTGAAAAGAATAATAAAATATCACTCTGTATGAGTCATATATGCATAGTGAAGATAAAACTAATCTGAGAAGTTAATTAAAGTGTAACACAAGTTATTGTCCTAATTAGAAACTTCATAATCTTAAGAATAAGATTTATTTAGAAGGGAAGAAGAGCGAGAAAAGAAGTGAACACCTAGTGAAAAGGTTCATCCATGATAAGAATAATAATTGTGTAATGAATATCAACTTCAGAAGGAAACCAGCAATTGAAAAAAAATAAAAAATAAATGAATAAAAATCCTTTAAAGCACTCGGATGAATACATTTAGATTTATGTAATAGTATACAGAATGAAACCGGATATTAGTATAAATATTTGTGCAATAATAATTAAGATTGATGATATGAAAGTCAAAATGATTTCAAAGGACAATCTGGAGTTAAATATGTTTAGAAGGATAAGAAGAGATAAAGAGAATATCTAATGTGTTGGGGAATTAAAAATGATATTAATAACGGTAATAATGATAAACACGAACATAAGCAGACTTCATATATTAAGATAAAGAGAAATAATAAAAAATAGACGTGAAAAGACTTAAAGTTTTTATTTTGCTTTTCAAGCAATTAAATAGATGACGGACCTTGTTTGTATAAATCATTATTGAATACATTGATATTCAATAGGTGACATAATCCACTTTCGGAAAGAAAATCGTCAAGGAGACTTTTGAACCGGGTTGTAGTTTCACTGCAACGGAGGTTCACTGGCAGTCTGTTCCACATGGTTGAGTAGCGAATAAGGAAAAAATTCTGATGTAAGTTTGTGTGGGTTCTTGGAATCGCTAGAATGTTCTCCTTATTGCGTAGATTGTGGATGCCATTTCGAATCTAGACTTTTCCGTTGTCTGACCAGATTATTAGGAACCACGCGCTTCTGAACGACTGCCCATCACCCACAAGCAAACAGGTTTCTACTCGACCGCAATCAGCTGATGTTTACGTTCAACCAGACTTACGATATAGTTCACAAGTCTTCGTTCTTCGAGACTCATATCGATGACCTCTCGAATCAGCATACGAAGGACCCTTCAAAGTTCCTCAACGTAAACCTAAGTACTAAAGGTCGATAAGAACAGAACCAACGATAGCATCAGCACCGATAACCTCAAAGCAGCGTATCTAGAATGAAACCCTATCCATGTCAGTTTTCCCTCAATACAACCGGAAGACACGACTCTCACACATATAATAAGTCAGCCGAAATCCAACACACACGACGATACTTCGGAAGTATCAGAAAATAAACCTAAAACAACGCGTTCTGGAAGAACAGTGAGGTTTCCAGAACAATCACAAGTTTATCGCACACCATTTTGTTTCGGATCGATTTTTCATTGTATCATATATAATATAAAAAACCAATTCTAATATGCTTATTTTATATATTCATGGAAAAAAACAAAAGTTTTTACCATGAGTATATTAAAAATTTTAAAATTTCCACAACCCTTAAACTACTCATCAAACAGATGGGAACAGGTAAAAAAAACCTTACTTTGTGACACATCTACAGGTAGGGATCGCCCAATCGTCCCGAAACATTATCGACGCAACGTCTTCAATACGTTGCAC